TTAATGATAATAACTAAATTGTGAAAAACTCAATATAACAGATATAAAACAATTTTGCGACCCTCAGAGTTAAAAAACAATTAACGTTTAAATTGCTACTTACAATTCATTACCAAACCTCCTTGCAGCCACGGAAAAACAAACGTATTGCTAGGAAAATTTTCGGTTCAAAAAAGAACGTGTTTTTGTCAGAAACTAATTATTCCCTGGAACGTAACCGTTCAACGTTGAATCTCTTCTTATTTTTATAATGGGCATAGCATCAAAGAAATGAATTTAAAACTTCGATGACGTTTTTAAATTAAAACAGCCGTAATAACGTCTGCAGAATAATTTTCTGAAGAAATTTTTGGCTTTTAAAAATTTTAGGTACTTCAAGTACGGACTTTTCCAAATAAATAGGCCTGGTGCATTATAATATAGGTAGAGTGAGTGCACTTTTTCATTTTTAGGGAACATTAAAGACTGTATAGTAATTGAATTTCGTTGTTAGAAATCATTGCTAACAAATCTAAAACTTATATAGAGGCAAGATGCAAAATGAAATAATTATTTGACTCGGAAATGATTAACCTAAAGCCAGGTTTACCTTAAGAAATATATATATTGACATCCAAGTCAATACATTCCTGAAATATTCAAGAGCTATACAGATTCCCAACTCAAAACAAATAATAACTTCCCACACATTAATTGAAGGATGATTACCTTCTCAAAAAAAAGTAAAAGTATCCGTAACTGTTGATCTTGATGAAATATGGGGCTGTAAAAGATTTATAAAGAATTTTGCAGGATAAGTTTGAAATTGTATGTGCCAATTGAAAACGAACAAAACAACCACGTCAGAAAAATAAATTTAAAATATTAACATTTAAATTGCTACGGAAAGACAAGAACGTTTCTCAGAAACTTTTCAGTTTAGAAAAGAATGTGTTTTCTGCAGAAAACCAAATATTCCCTGGAACGTTTATCTAACAACCTTTTTTCATTAAGAGTATATCACCTAAGAAATGAATTTAAAAACCCCTTCTAATAATATCTACAGAATAATTCTTTAAAAGAAACTGTTGGCTTTCAAAAATCTTAGTTATTTCAAATACGGAATTTTCCAAATAAATCGCCTCGTTGCCTCATAACATAGATACAGTATTATAATACAGATAGCAGTACAGATAGCAGTACCGGATACAGTACAGTACAGATAGCAGTAGTTTGATTATAAGGTAACATTGAAGTCCGCGAGGTTACAGATGTAAAGTGGGTTCTCGGAAAAAGGAGACCTGATACCTGATGATAGCAACGAAGAGTAGATAGAGGAATGTGGATACAAAAAAGAAACACCTCAGTCGAAGATCTTGTTCTAGGCACCTCTTTTGAATTTTTTTTTTCTTAGTACGCCGGATAAGCGTACTTAGAATTTAGTAACTTCTTTGTTAGTTTATTTTGTGTATACTGGATTCTGATGTCTTTACTTACTGATCTAGAAGGTTAGGTGTGAAGAGGGCCTGTTTTATTCCCTTAGTCACTGAGTGTTTGAGTGTTATATCAGCTGTCTTTTTTACATGCTGTGCTCTGTGGTAAAGCTGAAGAAAGCCATGCATGCATGCCCATGAAAATGGAAAAATTGTCCGTACTAAGCGTACTAAGCGTACTAAGACCGAATAAAATTCCAACATACATAGAACATGGCCGTACTAAGCGTACTAAAGACTAAAACTGAATAAAATACCAACATACATGAGAACATGGCCGTACTAAGCGTACTAACGCACAAAGACCGAATAAAATTCCAGCATACATAGAACATAGCCGTACTAAGGCCGAATAAAATATTCGTACTAAGCGTACTAATACAGACATGCATAGAACATGGCCGTACTAAGCGTACTAACGTACTAATTAAGACTGAATAAAATACCAACATACATAGAACATAGCCGTACTAAGCGTACTAACGTATTAAGACCGAATAAAATACCAGTATACACGAGAACATGGCCGTACTAAGCGTACTAACGTACTAACACCGAAAAAATATACCTGTATATTATCGTACTAACGTACTAAGACTGAATAAAATACCAACATTTTGAAAACATCGCCGGTCGCGAACATGACCACTTTAGCAATACAAACGCAAGGCACCCCAGCGCACCTGAGGTCAAGAGCTGTTTTAAAAATCCCCTTTTTAAATCAAAATTTCACATACCTTGCCTTTTGGGGACACTGATTTAGACAAAGCAGGGATTTATTTCAAGATACATTATGTCCTGTCTTTTTTTATAGTAAATACACCATATACGTCGTTCAGGCGTACTAAGAAAAAAAAAAGAAAATTCGTTCCTAAACCTGGCATGGTATATTTGACTACCCAAAAGCCTAGTTGAAAATTTAACAAAATTTACGAATTTGTTTGGCACATTGGTTTGTTCTGTTAGCAATTATCATGTCAGTAATTTAAATTGCTAACAGAAACTGAACTTTATGAGGTCCAACTCTGCGGCTCAGACCGGAATGGAAATAGGATCGTGAACTTCGGTAAAATGGCAAAATATAATTTTTCACCGCCGCTGGTAAACACTTCATTTTTTAAGGAAGCTCTTGAAGGATTTGACGTCCTATATGTAAGCCGCAGGACATCTGGCGAGTCGAAATGACTTTGTTTTTGTTTAAAGGGGAACTAAAATTGAAGAACGAGCTAGTAAGGGACGTGAAAACTTAATATTAAAGGAAAAATGGCAGTACTAACAGGATTAGAGTCTAAGATTACCAAGAGGTTTTATTCCCTTCTTTTCGTTTTCTCTTTCCCCGTTTTGATAACTCGTCCACTGCTTTCTTTCTAGATAGCGATGGGCTAATCAAAACACCAGATCTCCTGAGAGTTTTTTTATTGTTATTTTATTGTTTCTGTTTGCTTTCTCTTTGCCTTAATTCTGTAGACATCAGGTCCTCGTTTTTAAGAAACCCATTTTAACCTTACGCTCTGTAATGATACCTTACTGTATAATCAAATTATTGCAATTCATGCTCTTATATTATTGTAATGCAACATGGATATTCCATTTATTATTTGATGGTATTTAGAACGAAGTATTTTTTAAAACACTATTCTTTAGACATTGTTAAAGCTGTTTGTAATAAAAAACATCGCGAAAATTTAAATTCATTAGTTGGTTGATATACCCGCAGTCAAAACTAAAGGAAGTGGATAATTGAACGTTCCAGAATAATCGGTTTCTGCCAAAGACGCGTTCTATTTTCAACAGAATGGTTTCTGAGCAACATACTTATATATTTTTGTGAAAGAAGGATTTGGAAATAACTTGTTAGTGGTAATTTAAATGTTAATTTATATTTCTGACACCTTTTTTGCACCTGGAAATGTTCTGTCGATAACAAGTTCTTTTTATAGACAAGCAAGATGAGCAACTCCTTGTTCGATGTTCGTAATCAAATAATCGTAACGGAGTTAAGTTTATATATTTGAGGCTTTTCCTAGCCTAAATTTCAGACATTCCCTTAAGTCGAATGCTCTTGACAGGGAGGTCTGAATCGACAAGCCGCTAATGTCGTCTAGGGACGTCACTACCCGAAATTTTGATTGGTTGACTGTCCAAACATTCTTATAACTATGTATAAGAATTTTTTTTAAATAACATTTATTTGATTAATTATTTATTTTTATGATTAATTATGAGAAATCTTAGCGGGACTGTCGTTTGATATGATCGCATCTCTTGGTGTAGATTTCAACAATCTTTATTGTAAACAGAAAAATAGCCTTTGTCTTCGAAACTTTGACTTGTAAAATTGACCTTCGAATGAAGAATCAATGCAGAAAGTCGCTAGGTTTTCATTTTGAGCCACTTTGTGGTTTCGGGAGCGCTTTCGTATATGCGAATCATCAGTGATCGATTTTTGTGAGGTTTATTACAACCTTGTATCGAGCTGGCAAATTTCTCTCTTCTTCATTAAGGAACAAATTGTTGTCGTTTTGAAGTGTTTTGTGTATATTTCATTCTTGCGTGACCGCGATCGAGTTTGATTATTGAATTATGGTGCCATATAAACAAAACTGAAAACTGTTTGAACGTACATGAATTGCCATTTAAGAGTAACGCATTTCTGTTCCGGACGATATTTCTTTGATTTTCTTTGATTTTTTATGAAAGTGGCCGAGTCGCAAATACGAGGCGAATACTAATTGATGGAGTTAGAAGACAGCCACAAACGCGCGTGGTTTATCATATCCTAAATATCCACTCAAGTCATTGCGCAACAATGAAGTGATAGCAAAATACTCCTTCCAGCTTTTGCGCGTTAACTTGATCTGATACTCTTGCTACGCAGGCTAATCCAACACAATCTTGGATTCTGGATTCCACACCGTGGATTTCGGAGTCCAGGGACAGGATTTCGGACTCCCATCGCCTTAGCGGGATTTCGAATTCCTTGATCTGCATTCCGGAATCCAGAGCCTAAGATTCCTAGTTCCACAAGCAAAGATTGCTTCAGTTCCGGGTTACCTTAAATGTGTCGAAAACGTCCTAAGATTAGAGAGAATAAACACGTACAAAAGAACTGTAAAAGAGAGCCATTAGACCTCTTATCCACACAAAATTCCTGACAATCAACAGTAATCATGGTAGTGGAAAATAAGTGATCATGTGACTCTTAATGACAGTGATTCCGGAAGGTCCTTTGTGGTTCCCAGAGACTTCAATGAGTCTTTTCCGGTTTGACTAATTTCTTTATACTGACCCGAGAGTAGTCTGCGATCATGTCTAGAAAAGCTTTTTTTCATTCTAGCTTTGTCGCTCGTGGCTTCGAACGTTGAGCAAAGTTATGTCGGCCTCCGACTTCGGGCTACACAATTTGCTACACAACCCACGGGCAGCACCCGTCCCCAGTCTTTTTGGGAACGAGTGGGTGAACAAGGCTTACATACGGGGCTTCGCGAGCTTAGCAGCCTCCCGATAAAAAAAACGAGATCCAAAAAGATGGCGGATGCAAGAGAATTGCAGACCAATTTGACCGAATATCGCGCTCAATTAAGACAGGCAAGTTACCTAATTCGACAATTTTACGGTCTTATTTTGAATGATACGTACATATGATAACGATGAATATGAAAGATGGAACAAAGGGTTCGATTTGCTGTCTAGAACAAGTCTAGGTTTTTTGACTTATCCACTTGAAAGACGATTTTGTTGACATGTGGAATGTATTGTGGTTTCTTTATCAGCGACTTTGTCATGAAGTAGAAACTGTTCAGTTGTTAAGAGGGAGTAAGGGGTTTTCTAGCAATACGAAATTAGTTAGATTTTGTTATTGAATACCAGCTGCTAAACCCTAATTATACTCTCGATAGAAAAATTATACTTCTTAATATTCTTACTTTTAACAAATCTTAGAATTGTCTTTTTATAATGTATGTAACGCTGATCTTGAAGGTGGTCTGTCTTGTGAGGGGTAAATGACTCTTTTGTAGATTATTCTTATACCCTCTTTTTTCATCTACTGTACATGTATTGTGAAGAGTGCTAGTGATTAAATGATAAATAGATGATGGAAAAAAATTATTGATTGTCATTTTATACAATAATATTATTGGATGGTTTTTTGCGATATCCATAATAATCAAGGTCCAGGTAAGTGTTATTAGTTGTTTTTGTTGAGATAACATTGAACACACCATTGCATAGAACAAAGTGAGACATTCCTCTTCGAAATCATGCATTGTGCGGGCAACCTACAGATTAGTCAGTTATCTTCTAGCAGTTACCTAACTTATCTGTAGGTTGCGCTGATTTCCAAAATTTGCGCTATGTTTTTAGCCAATGAGAAGACAGATAGTGAACACCATGTATAAAAATAAAGTTTATTTTTATGAGGGGAAAAGTTACCATGTAACATTTGGGTATTCTAAATAGGTTGAAGCAGCATTGACTACAGACCCAGGGAATGAAGAACTAAAGAAACTAAAACAGGATTTAGAAGTAAGTTTGAGTTTTTGGTCATTAACGTTTTTGCCACAAATTCTTGGATTCATATATTGTTTTTTTGTATGACTTTTGGTACAACTTGTTGAACTAGGACTAGCAGACTTGGATGACATTTATTTTAACAATGATTTTTTTTTTCTCTTGTCCAGGAAGTGATCAATCTTACATTAGACCTTTTAAAAGTAAACGAGGTAGGAGCCATGATCTCTATGATGTTATTTTACAGCTGTACATGCACAACAAACAGAACAGGGGAAAACAAAGTACAGTGGAACCCACATATTTAACATGTACAGACACAAATGGGACATTCCACAGTGTCCGTATTGTCTAATTGTCTGTATTAAACAGGCCCTCCGAAAAAATGCCACGGACACTGTTTTATTGGTTATGTTACAGACATTCTGTACAAAAGAGCTTGGGACATAGAAACGTTTTTGTTGTCTATATTAACTGATTGCCATATTAGGTGGGTTTTTGTCAGGACAAATGAAACTGTGTGTTATACAGTGGATTTATATGGATGTTCATTTTAAGTTGGTGTCCGAAGAGCAGGGTTCCACTGTGAGTTCCACTGTACTGACAAACCCCATTATGTAGTCAGTGAAGGGCCATGAGAATATACTTCCTGCGAAATGCTCCCCTTTGACCTGCTCAGCTTTTTAGAAATACAATGTATCTCTGGTCCCAAAAGCGGGTTGGGGGCTTATTATATTTGTACAAAAAACAAGCTTCTAAAGTTGGAGGCTCATTATCATCATTAGAAGGGGGATTAAAAGATTAATGGAGAGGGAGTGCTTAATGGAACCTTAAAAGTACTAAAATTACACATTATTAATCATTTGTACTAGTTAATGCTTATTAAACTACATTTACAGTCGACCCTCTCTTAACGAACACCTCTATAAGACAGACACCTCTGTAAAACGGACACTTAGAGTTGGTCCCTTCCTTTCTTTGCTCCTTTTATTTGACTCTCTATAAGACAGACATCTCTCTAAGACCAACAGCTAGTGCCGGTCCCAAAGGTGTCCGTCTTAGAGTGATTTGACTGTATTACCTATCTGTCTGTTATTCTGTGTACTTTACATGTTATATTAGTATAATCTTACATGACTTGTATTTTCTTTTCAGAAAGGAAGTACAAGCACTGGTTCCACATGGAAAGTAGGGGATAGATGCCAAGCAGTATGGAGTCAAGATGGCAGGTAAACTGTTACTAAGTAATATGCTTTGGTTTTCTGAATAAGGTACACTTTATTGACAAGTTCCCCATACATGATTGTAGTTTTAACTTACAAGCTGTAGATTTTCCTAACAATAATAATGAAATGTAATATCCTCATTGTATACTTGAGAAATGAACTTTTCATGAAAAACAATGCTGAAAAATGGCATTTCTGACAGTGTACAAGTAGTATAATGGAACACTGGGAGACAGAACTAACTCTTTTGCTGACACGAACCAGAGGCCTGGGCTGGCTAGGAGGAATTGTGTTTTTTTTTCTGAGTTCATTATGTTTAGTTGTATGTTGCAAATTTGAATCAGTTTAGGTCAGCATTCATTTGAGCTCCTAACTTTTATTTGCCAATTTTGTTATATGTGTTCGTAGACATTTGGCAATTGTTAGCTTTTGTGTACCTCTGCCCCTAAGTTGTCGACACCGCATGAAAAAATCATTTGATTACCTAGCCTCCCAGGCAGATGTTCTTAGGGGTTCGTCACGCGTTCCTGCCCCACGAACGTCTGCTGATCCGCAAGATAAATTCCTTTCCCATTGTTCTCAAATATCGGCTGGACATACCTTGGAGATTATCAGAGATCCAATCGGCGCTGTTGAAGTCAACGTGTTGACAAGCCAAACGCATACGTACAAGCACTGTAGAGTGTGATATGTGGGCAAAGATTTTTGCTCCAGACGAGAATATAGGAGATAAGCATTGGCTTTTTGTACATTTTTCTCTGTAAAGACTGGATTAGATGTCATTTGCTCATAAAATTGTTCTTTGGGTGATGCAACGGCGGGGTTACCTTATAAGACTGAACAAAAGGCAGAATTTTTTTTTCACATGTTATTGTTTTATAGTAAAGCCGACTTCCGTTCAGCAAATTTAACCTCCAAGGTAATTTTTTTTTAATGAAATTGTGTGGGTAGCCATTAGTACGAACGCTTGTGAGTTAACTGAGTAGTTTGTTCTAAAACTGTGAGGTCGTCACCTTTCATGAGACCTTTCTGATCTTTTCTGGAGCTATAAAGTCAAGTGCGAAATTTCTCAAGGTCCAAAGTGCACTTCCCAGATCTGGAAGTCTGCTGTGATTGGTCTGTGTTTTTTTCTGCCCAAGTCAGCAGACGTTCGTGGGGCAGGAATGGTGACGAACCCCTAAGAACGTCTGTGTGGGAGGCTATTGATTACCTACATGTAAACATATTATCTGCTGTCATACATTCAAGATGCTTTTTAAAGACTATTATCTTTGAAGTTCAAAAAAAACATAATTTTCTATTTCAGCTATTATGATGCTACTGTTGATAGTATATCTGATGACCTCACAACCTGCACTGTTTCATTTGATAAGTATGGGAATACAGAGATTGTTAAGGTCAGTGCCTATAATTTGATCCATCTCTGTACACACTCTCATTGCTTTAACAAAATATTGTTATTTATAACAGTTTTGCACTAATTTTGCTTTGTCTCATGTACGAATGGTATTTCAAATAGGTATCATCTTTAAGGCATACAGATCAAGCCCGAATAGAAAGGCCATCAGAGGGATCAGAATCTTCCGCAAGCACCTCAAAGAAATCAAGGTAATACATGTACAGACATAAAAACAGTGAAAATGGCGTGAAAGTTTTTTTTGTACAATGTAATAATATTACTGCTGGCCATAAAATTAGTGTACTTATATGTCATTGTAATTATTATTATTAGGAGTCTTATTATGCTGCATGTTTTTTGGTCTGTCAACTGTACATAGACAACTAAGTTATTTTATAATGAAATTATCGCAGGGCTGGTGAAAATGCTCTACAAGAACAAAAAAGAAAGAAGAATAAGATGTTAAAGAAGAAACAAAAAGCAAAGGTACATCTGAAACGTGTGTCACATAGTGAAATGAAAGGAAACATATTGTTTGAAGTAAAATTTATCATGTTTTAGACATTTCTGATGTTGGCAGGAGTAGTTTCAGAGAACATATTACAGTGTATGTACAGTACTAATATTACTATTACAGCCATTTTGAATTTTTTCTGTTTTGTATTACTTTGTAGGAACTTGAAGAACTGAGGGAAAAGGGCAAGCAAAACTGGCTGGACTTTTTTAACAATTCAAAGGTTATTGTCCAAGCAAGATAGTAGTTACATGTACATTCTATATAGAAATAGCTATGAAGCTGTACATAAACAAGAATCTCTGCCTGTTTAGTTAATGGTGATCTTAATCTTCTCTAGTTTCGTACAGCTGTAGCTAACATGAGACTGTATGCAAACAAGAAAAAACATAAACATAACCTTTTCCTTCATCTTCTAACTTTCTAACAAAAATATTAGAAATAGGCCATGGGACAGAAGATTGTTTTCTTTTTTTATGTACCGTTAATTCTCCCAAACTTTAGTCTGTTTATCATTGAATGACTCCTCAGCAATGATTTTTCATTGTTCTTAGCCTACCAGAATGTCAAGGAGTCTAGAAACCCAATGTAAAACAAGTTGAAAGGCACATGTTTTTGTTTCCAATGATAAATACTAACCTCAACTGAAATTAAAATCCTGTATTATCACTATTGTTTTTAATTACCAGGCCCTGAATTTTTTGCTTAGTACCTCAGTCAAATTTTATGGATTTTTGTGTTAACATTTACTACATATACATGTACATGCAATGTTTATAGGGTGGTGGATCAAGTAAATCAGGCAAAAGCTTAAAAGGAGTTTCCAAGAAAAGCATATTTGCCTCTCCAGACACAATCCAAGGAAAGGCAAGTATTACCAAAACTAGAAATATGTTATCTCAAAAATCTTGCAAAGCTGTGAAGGGTCACCAGTGAGAATAAAGGGACACAAGCCAAAGGGAAAAATATGATGAAAAAAAGACAAAACAGAAACAAAAGGTACAAAGACAACAGAACTTGGACTTATGCCATGATAAACCTCCTGCTCCCAGACGACTGGACCATGCCTCCCCTGGACTATTAACAACAGAAAATTAACAGACATAAATCATTTTTTTCTGCCATTCATGCTGTTTGAAGCTTGTGGAGCTGTATTTATGATGAATTCAAAGATAAATTTGAGAAAACTTGCTTAAGTGAGTATTACAAAGCCATTCCACATCATTTTCGTGTTTATTCACTCTCGGGCTTAATGGCCGATTGATATACGTGCCTGTCTTTTTTTTCATTGCTCTCACTAAAATTCATTTCATTGTGCTTTTGGCGTTAAATCTTCCACAGTGAGGATTTCCAGCCACTTGTCGATTCGGGAACACTGTTGTGTTTGCAGCTTGGTGTTATGTGGGGGAAATACTTCATGATTCGCCAACAGTAAACATAATTTCACCAAGGATGAATAAAATTAGCCCAGTTGGTGGCAAACCAGTTCTAACCAGTTGTGTTGCCTGGAAACCCAAAATGGACCACGACTTCATGCTTAATAGCGTCTTTCAGAGTTGTTTATGGTCTGTTGCTAGGTAACTGCAGCTACCAAGCAGAGATATACATACTCAACTCAACTCTGTCTCACTAAGCAATCATGTGCCTTCCACATGTGATGCCAATTTCTACAAAATTATAAACTCACTTTCATGAGAAATAAATACCTAAATAAAACTTAATTGGGTGAACTCAATTATGGGTTGCACATGAGTTCAGAAAAGAAGACCAGGGCATGCAATTCATGTATATTGCTAAAGGTGCATTGTAGAAGAGGAATTCTGTAATTCTGCCAAGAATTATTTTAGAGATAATGACTTGTCAACCCAGCTAATGCTTATTTATGTCTACAATCAACTCTCCCCTACCTTGAAAGTCCTTAAAAAGTCCTTGAATTTTTTGTTAAAAAAGGGTACAAACCCTGAATATAAACCATGGTTAAAATGATTATAGAAAAGAAAGGTTCTAAGATGATACTATCTCTCTCGCGGAAAGGTCAACTCAAGATATTTTCTACCAAAAAATTTAAATCATTGATAAAGGCAAGGCAAGTGTGCAATACTCTTGTTGCTGCTTGAATTATTCCTTTTTTCTCTTCCATTTTGATTGTTTGTTTTTGTTTAGAAAACTAACTATTCTTGCTTTCATTTGTCAGGTTGGTGTTGGTACTTGTGGTACTGGAGGTCAGCCTATGACACAGTTCACACAGCCCGATAAACTTGTTTACAAGAGATGATATGAAACAATGCCACTAGTAAATTACAAGACACTTTACAGTTTCAATCTAATGGATGTTGGATGTTTCTGATGGACAAAATCCCAAATAAGTCTAGTTGATGTTCTTTTAAAAGTGTACAGAAGATACAGGAGTTTGAAGGAGTTGTATGTTCATCAGTGATTACAGAGTGATTTCTTTTCAGTGCCCTACAATGTAACATTCTTATTATGTAAACACTGATGAAGTAATGTCGCACAGTCATATTTTTTTTTTCTCTGAGCAGCCATAATTATTATATTCTCTGTGTATACTGTGTTGTGTATTTTTAATTTATGCAATCAAAACAGATGTGAGCATAAATTTAGCATGATTATAAGTGTAGTGTCTAGCCTTTTTTACACTTACAGGTGGAAGTGAGGCTGGTTGGACCTTGTTTTGATACAACCCTTACTGCTTTATCATTAGAATCATGTTGTTCATTTCCATAAGAAAAGAAAGAGGTTTGCATCAAAACATAGTCAACCTCAAGCCCACAACTGTAAAATGGTCTATTGATCTGTTCACCAACATGTATAGACCTCTTTCATAATGGTGTCTTATTGATATATTATATTATATCTGTGATAGTTAGCCTTTCTGACCTTGTTTGAAAGTAAATATTCTTTTGTTGTTTTTTTTTTACATGCTAACAAGGTCAGAAAGGTTATTTATCATACATATAAAAGAATATATTAATAGGCCACCATTATTGAAGAGATCTATTTCGTTTATTCTCTGTACTGCAAAGCATAAAATGTGTATTCTTTACCTTTGTTCCTTTTAATATATAGCTAATTCAATTCAGGTTGCTCTAGGCATTGGTACTGTGATTACGAGTTTGGAATCTATTGTTTGTTTGTCACTGAAGCAAATCATTGCATTGTTCTGTATCCCCAAATACCCAATGCCCAATTGCCAATCACCTTTATTGAATTAGGTATAACTGCTGGGGTTCAATTTTTACGCAAGGTTTACTTTTGCTTTTTGTATGATAATGTATGATAAAGACATTGAAACAAAGGAAAGTAAACATTGAACCAGTTCAGTTGATTGTATTGATGCCTTGAGTGTGGTGGATGCCAGCATTGTATACACTCCAAGCTCTTATGGACACCTGCTTAATATGGGCATCTCAAAATTACGGACAGTTTGCTTTGTCCCTGGGGACACAGCAATACAGAAACAGACACTAATACAGACACGACATTAATGCGAATGCTTTCTATGGTTCCCTCAATGTCTGTATTAACGGGTTTTGACTCTACTCTAAAATGCTGGTTTAGAATCCCCGTGCATGTTGTAAACCAAAAAGATGCCCCCACCCCACCCCTCTCAATTTTGCCTTGACAGAACTATCAGGAAAAGAGTGATGTGAGGTATGGCTCGGAAGCAATTGCTAGATGAGACTGAGGTGAGTGTGATCTGAATAATTATCTAGATCGAGCTGTCTCTCCTCCGCATCCCAGGCCTCTTTGTGTCGGAGGGAGGCTGGAGAGGAGGGAGGCAGTCTTCTCCGCAAAAAGTGTCAAAATTCCTTTCAAAACAAGGGACTGCAGAGCTTTGGATTGGTGGGGTACCTATCACGTATCACGGAAAAATGAAATAGAATATTAACTACATTAACAAGTATCCTATTATCATTTGATCTGATGAAATCAGAGGTCGAGGAACGAGAAAAAATGACAAGACGTTGCCGTCATAACTATGTATTTTAATGTCTCAGCTTGTTGTTTGAAATGATATTAACCATCACGGAAATCTCAAAGGAAAATCACGCGTCACGCGTTGTGAAAATAGTAGATCACGTATCACGCTGCTATGCCCAATCACGCCTCTCGCGACTATTAAATTAGGGCCCGATCACGCATCACGCTGATAATTTGGGTCCCATCACGCGTCACGAAAAAACCCCTTTGCCACCCTGGGGATAGCTCCCTCGTAGCGTGAGCTCAAGGAGCGCCGCAGGGGATCCGGAGTGGGAGGGGATGGGGGTCTGAAACCCCCCTCCCCCCCCCCCCACTCTTTGAAATGTTTTGAATGTTTTCGCTGGTTTCTTTTAGATCATCAGATTCGTAATTTTTAAAATTGAAACAACTCCTGTTCCGATCTTTTCATTTTTATGCTGACCTCTTTTCAAATTTTGCAACACTACACTTTTCTTTGTTCTTTTGATTCCTTCTATTTGGGTCAGATGTCAGAAATAAAATACTTGAAAACAGTGAGCAGCATATCTTATCCCTGAAAATACTTTCACTTTTGTATTCATTGAAAATCACGAAAGGAAAGGATTTAGAGGAATTTATCGATTTTTAGATGCGCTGTCCTTTTTTCACTTTACTTATTAATTTACCGGCAGAAATATGGAAAATTGTCTTTTGATTTTTAATTTACAAAAACTAGCTATGATCTCCAGAATTGATTCCAAGAAAGGAAGACTCATTGTTGTTGATGTAATAATTGAAATTCCATGAAAGCCCCGATACATTAAAAGTCACGTGAAATAAAATAAAGGGAAAAACCCCAGGGAGTAACTTTCTGTATTTCATCGGTATCTTTTCATCTCTACTACGTCTTATCAACATGTCTGATATTTTCGAAGATTTTGAGAAACGAGCACGCTTTGAGGACGAAGATGAAGCTGACTTAATTCGCCAGAAACTCGAGATACTCGTTGGCAATATTCTGAAGCAAGTAGAGAAGCAAGACCAGCGATTTCGAAGCACTTTGATCAAAAGCGGAAGTGTGTACGAAGGCGTGAAAGTCAAAAAGCCTGATGAATTCGACTTCATGGTCAAACTTGACTCGCTCACAAACACGCCGCTCTTTTATCAATGCGAAAAAGGTGACGGTTACGTTAAGCTTTCCCTAGATGATGACACATGGAAAGAATTCAAAGATGAACATGGCTTCTTCAGCCCAAATCTTCTTTGTCGCCACTTTAAGAAGCTTGTCAATGGATCACTTAGTTATGTCGAGGTATCCGAGGGGCTCTCAATTCAGAGAGCTGATCAGGAGCTGCTTGATGGCCCATGGGGGCCTGTCTTTTCAGATCTGTTGGGTAATAGCGGCGGTAAGGACGACCCATCTGGTGTCTTATACTCAGAAACGCATGGTCCAGCCACTACTCTTTATATCAAATGGCAAGGTGGTAGTAGTTACAGAAATCTGCTTATCAGCGTTGACTTGACACTAACTCTGGAGTACTTTATAACCAAGCTTACTGCTGAGTTGTCAAAATCCCTTCCACAATCAGTAGATGATTGTCTCCGTAGAAACGGATTTCATGTCGTCCCTGCTGGTTTTGATGTCTGGCGCATTTCGTTTTCCATGGCTGAAAAAGACGTCCTGTCTAACGCTCCTGAGGGGTTTAAAGCTTGCTTCCGGGTTTTGAAAATCATGAGGGATACTGTTATGGAGCGACTAGGTTTGGACGCAGCCCTGATGCCATCGTACATTTTCAAGACTGCCTTGTTGTCTCAATTGTTCATAATTGAAAAGCCTCGCTGGGAACAGCTGCTCAGGTCGCAAACATTGGAGGAGATTCTAGAGGCTATACTGCAAGGTATCGTACGTGAAGAGATAAGCAGCTTCTTTTTGTTAAGGTATAACCTACTGACAAAGGGCGATCACGAAAACAAGCTCCGCCGATGCATTCTAGAAGAGATGCTGAATTGCTTGAGAGGCTTAAAGATGAAGTATACACCAGAAGACGTCAAAGAAAGAAAACGGCAAATTAGGGTGTTAGAAATGATTGATTTGATGGAGTACATTGTTTCGAGCACTCTTAGAGGAAAAGATCCGACCGAGTTATGGAACAAGATGTTTGTTAATATTGGTAGTGTTCCTGGCTCGCGCAAGTTTGGCTGGTTTTGGAATCAGTTCACAGATCTCAACAGCACTGAACTTGATGAAGATGCCTACAGCAGGCTCATTCGAATATGGAGTCTGGTGGAGGATTTCTTCAAACAGTTGCTCGCTTCTGTTACTGGTGAACTGAACGTGTTGGTCCACAAGTTCTACATGAGAACCCGCGAGAAAAAGGAGAAATTTGAGCTCATGCACAAGTGCATGCCCGAGCCTGTCGCACAGATTTCTCTTCAAGAATTGGCATGTGAATTATTCCAAGATCTTGCTGAATGTTACATTGATGAAGTGAATTCCGATTGGTCGAGTCTGCACAAAGCAGTTCCTCCCGAGTACAAATCATCTGGTGTCTTCCAGGATGTACGCGATGTAACAGTGAATGTTGGCAGTGATGAAGGTCTTGCTGTCTTCAAACAGCGCATCAAGCAAAATCTGACCTTGATTCCGGATTCATATTTAATGAGCCTTACTGTCGGTTATGTTGGCAAAATATTTTACCATGCTCGAGATGTGCTAAAACGTAAACTTGGTTACATCACAATATCAGAGTTAGAGTTAGACTAAGCCATCTGTTCGAGATTATTTCCCGGAGCTGGTTTAAGATCAAAGATGACTGTATCTTTTAATTCTACTAGTAGCGTCTATTTTCTCTCAAGATTCAGTATTACTCTCTCAATGCCTTTTCCATTCTAAATTATAGCTCGAACATGAAAGGCTTGTTCTTCCACAGTATTGGAATACAATAATGCTCTAATTAATTGTTGGCTCGTGTAAGACGCAGCTCTAAAATTCTTCTTTGCTTTGTAAGTCTAGTCGGATTTTTGAAAACAAACCTTGTAATTCTTGCAGCCATTGAAGTGCAAAAAGACCAAACGACAAGTTTTCTTGCTTCCGAGAAACCTGCAAATCACACTAGCGAAGGAAAAGGAAATGAAAAAATGGGAAGAGCAAGGAGAAAAAAAGGAGGATGAGCAAGAACACAGGGGTTGCAATCTGGGATTTTTTGTAGATAGTATTTGCGCCCAAAAACTGCTTGACGGAAGAGGTCTATGTCAAAAATCCAGGTAGATGTGATCTATATTGCCTTTCTCGTGATACAGAATATGATTTACTATTATCTGACACCGTCTTTGACCTTCGGTCCCACACTAGAGAACTGAGTGTGAGCACAGGCTACGCATGAAAGATGACCTCTTCCGGTACGCACGACAATCACCAGACTTTGTATGGTGCCTTGTTTCGTTGGACGACGGAAAACGCATAGTGATGCAGAAATAATCGTCAAACTGAGTTTTGCTATATAATCGTGAACACCAATTTAGTCTCCACCCCCCCCCCCCCCCCCCCCCCCCCGCGCCGGGACGCGTGGTACTTATTTCTTTTCTCAAGAAAACGGGGGGGCGGTGGGGCAGATACAGGGGTCACGAAGAAAAACTGACCTCTCCCGGTACCACCACCAAGCCCAGGATTTTTTTGGGGCCTTTTTTTCTTGGGCGAAGGAAAAACGCTAAGGGTGGAGAAAAAATTCTCAAACTGAATTTTTCTTTAAAATCCGGAAACCCAAATTATTCCCCCCCCCCCCCCCCCCCCCTTTCCCCGAGGACTGTTATGGAAGTATATTATGATCTTGACATAAAGTTCGGTAAGGCTTGGGGTAACATAGTCGTCACGTTACTACTCTTGCTTGAGGTCTTTTCCGGGAAACTTCGGCGGCGGAGTAATCTGCTACTCAGCCGTTTTTAGTGTCGTCACGCTTTACGACACTATAAAAGGCTGTGTGACAGACTGGCTGCGGAGCCGAACTCTAACAAGCGAGCCTGCCCGCAGGCTAGAGATCTTTGACTTCTTCGACAAGGGATTGAAATTTTTTCCATTTACACCACTGAAGATGCAAAGGAAACGAGAAAGGTCGCGGCAACTAGCTTTTTTTTCTCACTTTTTATTATTTTAACGTGTAGTATCGATTCAGGGTAACAGGACTACTCATGTTAGGTACTGAACTAGAAAGCTTTAGCAACAAAGACGACGACTGCAGGGAAAACGTCTAAAAATAAACTCGCTTGTTTTTCAAACTGTGCCGCGTATATTCGTCATATTCCAACTCAAATTCATGTCAAAGGTGTGTGAATTTGCCTGTAGATGAATTCTTGGGACCGCACCCAAGTTTAGAAAGAGAAAGAAAAATTATTTTTTGTTTGATATCGTCCCACATATTAAAACGTCGCATAATGAAAATTTCAGTTGTAGTCGCCTCGCAGGGACGTTGCAAGTGAATGTATAAAAAAGCGCGCTGTACGTGAAAACTTTTTTTTCTCTTTATATCTATTGCTTCTTCGAAACTCTTGCTGCCGTTGCTTAAGCTGTCAAACCTGCCTATTATTTCTACCACGGTGCGCATCAGCGTTTGATCGGTCCTATGAAGTCCATAGTCAGCAAAATTTAATTCGTTTATTATAATCAGGCTAGTCCAACTATATAAACCATTTGATGGAAACTCCTGAAAATTTTTGCTGTTTTAATTATATAAAAAAGGACTTCCTTATTTTTTTTAAAAGAGGTCTGCTCTCCAATAGCGAGGATGGATTAACCGCTTTGGTTTATATGAAGAAATCCGCTTTGAAGTCAGATGTACATCTGTGATGTTCTATTACGGATCACTTCTTATTTCTAACTAAAAAAAAATGTGGGAAAAACTTGAATTTTATCAGCATACACAAAATCAGAGCCGAGTATAAGTAAGGGGACTGGGCACTACTGTATTTGAAAATATCAGTCCGCCTTCTTCTCTTCTCCTGGAATGTGCTCTCCAACTCCAACTCGCAAAAAGTCGAATAAAACATAGCCTGCTTTAATGGGCATAAGCCTGGAACGCAAAACAAAAGTAGCACATAAGCCAAGATCCGTCATAGTATTGGAAGGGTTCTGTTTGGGAGAGGGCGTGGCCGGGGGTGGTAGTGGAAGGGGTACGTCAACAATAAAAGTATCCTTTGAGGGTGACAAGAAAGGTTTATGACACAATGTTAAGTGGTTCATGAGCTAGGAGAGTTTCAAACAGGAGGGCAATGCACGTGGGAGCATTAGAGCACAAGCCTAATTTCCATCACAGGTATGTTAACCTACAAATTTTAGTCAGTCAATGTCCGTCTTAAATTTTCCCACAACCAACGTAATCCCACCTGTACTTAGACTACGTACGCTTAGACACGATGACCGAACAAATCAAATGCCAATGTGACTATGATTTTGAACTGTCACATAGTACTTAAAGGCATTAAAAGTCAATGTGATGCATCAGATTGACAATTTTTCCTTCCTGACAAGACAAACATTTTGTTACAGCTTTAGGTGACCAACTCTCCTACTTTGTCCAAAATAGGCGAACTCTTCAGGAGTTGAATTCCAAAGAACCCGCAGATCCAAGTTCAAGTTCGTTTCCGCCATTAATGTGAAATTAGGCATCTTTACGTCGTAGTCGAGCAGTGACATCAAAGAAAAAATGTACAACAAAGTGTGATGTACGTTATAACCGAACTCTGCACTTGTTACTTTTAATACTGGTTTGTCATCATTTATTATTTTCTGCACATTTTTTGTTGTCGTTGTTGTTGTCAATGTATCATGATGCTTATATTTAGAATGTTAAAATGTGAATAGTGCAAGCAAGAAAAATCTTGAAGAAAATACATGATGAACAACTTTCAGTTCTATATACTCACCCAGCCAAAGCATAGTTCAAAACCACAGCCCGTGGAATAATAACAAGAGGCTCATCTCTCAGTGTTCCAGCAACAATCTCTTTGGCAACGTAATCTACTTCCAACGTAGGGTACAAAGATGGAAAACTACAAGAGAACAGTCGCGATAAGAATTTGATAGATGTTCTTGTTTCTTGCACCCAGCTGGGACCAAGTTGCAACTTAAAAACGAATCTATATGTACACTTTCAAAACAATTTGATGCCCAGGGGCAGGGGCAGGGGGGGGGGGAGGGGGGTACTCAACAAAGGTTTATATGGGGAGGAACCGCCCCGAAGTCTGACCCCTTACCCTTTTGAATTTTTGAAGTGTAGAAAAACAATGTGATACACGTGCAAAGTTGTTGATTTCCTTATTAAACCATTGACTGACAAAATCTTTGGCGTTTTGTTAGAAGGTTGCACATGGAGGTTCAAATGACATAGTACATTACAGGGCGGGTCACCCATCCAGCAACTGACCTGTTGACCCCCATGATAGAGATTTGTTCCCTTGTGAGAATTCAAATTTATCTTGAACATACATTTTAATTTTTTAAGTGTTTCAGTCTCTATGGAATGTCCAAACTCCCCTGTTGGGGAAGTATTGGTATTTTCTGGAATTGCTATTTGCTAGGATTGGTTAGGACAGACCTTTGCAGGCTTTAGAGTGCTAGGAAGGGTGGGTAGGTGGATTAAAGCAGTGAACACATGATGGACTTAATAAAAATAATATTAATAACAATATTATTAGCAGAACAGAACTGACCTCTGTAAGAAGAGAAGGTTGCGAATGCTGACTTACCGTGACTCTGGATGCCATACTAATCCTGTATTCACCGTGTATGGCTGAACACAGGTCAGCTTAATGTCATCTCTTCCCATTTGGTGAAGCTCTAGTGCCAATGAATGATTGAGACCCGTCGCACCAAATTTTGATGCACAGTAATCAGTAAGATTAGCCGTTGGAAAGCTGCCTGCAAGCGAGGTAATATTTACAATGTGACCCTTGTTTCTTTCCAGCATTCTTGGAAGAAATGATCTTATAGTCTGCAAACAAAATGAAATTTTCTGAGAATTCTTTAAAATGGGGGGAGGGGGAGGGGGCAAGGTCCCCTGACCCAACACCTAAATCTGCAACATAACAGCATGTTATGCATCATATCACAACCATAAACAATTTAATTTAAATTTGTGATTGTTAAGACCGAGTCATCATAAGTTAAGCATGTCAGTGTCCAAACGGGCCTATCCTAATTCACTCCGGTTAGTAATAGGTAAGGCATGCTAGCAAACCCAACTTCTGGTAGGAGAGTTGATATCTGGAAATCATCTACATTTACAGGCTAAAGTAGAGCTCGCTTGACCAATAAATTCTTCTAATTTTAATAATTTATTAAAATAACTCACTAGATTAGTAACTGTTCATCTTACTGGTAATAAAACAACATTTTGGTATTGAAAAAACTTTTGAAATTACCCAAAAGTGTGCCAAAGTGTTGATTTTCATGGTCCTTTCAATATCTTCATCCTTTAAGTTTAAAAGCTTTCTTCCACTCAAGATCCCAGCATTATTCACCAGTATATCCACTGGACCCACTTCTCTTTGCACTTTAGCACTAACTCTGTAAATGTCGTCTTTACTGCTAAGGTCGCAAACATAAGTGTGAGCTACTTTTCCTATTGCTCGCACCTGGGCAGCTGTCTCCTCATTTGTGTCTATTATAGAAAAGAAATTCACAGGCCTTGAGCTACATCTTCATCATCATCATCATCATCACCATTTTTGGAAATGGAAAAACACACGATTTCCTCGGTTCCTAATTTATTGGTTGGTTACACGACATAAAAATCTCTCTCACTCAAGTAAAATTTGTTCTCTAAAGATATATAATATCGCACATACATTGTTTCACTTATCTATCAGAAAACCTGTCAATATGCCCTATACTGGAATGTTTCAATTACGTCAAGAGATTCTCTTCTCAGCTTGCATTAACTACAACTTGCATGTCTCACTAATAACTCTTGACAGATTCAGTAGCACTAATTGAAAGCGATAATAATCAAATATTACTGACAACAGCTTCCGACAACCATCATCATTCTTCTTCTTCTTCTTCTTCTTCTTCTTCTTATTATTATTATTATTATTATTATTATTGTACTGCTGTTATCAATAATAATTCTTCTCAGTAATTAGAATTAGCTTGTTAAAACACATACAAGGAAACTAATAATAAAATAGTAATAAATTATAAATAAATAAACTAAAAACAAAGCACTGGCACTGAAACATTGGATTAAATTTTTGGTTTTGTTCTTGTCTCTATGTACTTTAAATTTAAACAATCATCACATAATTTGTCAAATGTACCTTTGTTAATGTCCCACAAGACAAGCCTAGCACCATGAGCAGCAAACTCAAGAGACAACTTTCTACCGATTCCACCGCCAGCTCCTATACATGGAACACATATGTTAGTCTCTGAGTCATTGCAGATTACAAGTTCCACTTGTAAACAACCAACCATACACTGAACCCCAGGCATAGGGGGTAGTCAACAGAGTTTAACAAGGGCGCTGTAACCTGAGGTCCAACCAAGGTATATCAGGTGTGTCTGTTATACATATTTTAACTTAAAGCCATAGCTAACCCACACAGTTATTTGTAAACTGCAGATTCAAGAACAGAACCGGTAAGTTTTTATCTCACATCTAATTTCCATGTGCAGTTTACAAAAAGGGTGTTGGTTCCCTATGTAAAAGCCCTTTTTAACACCATTATGACAGATTTCCTATCCTTTTACATAAATAAACTCATGAAGTCTTTACCCTTTGATATACTTGAAAAGATCCGCCTGTACTGTTCCTTCCCCCTACTCCCCTACCCCCTTCTTTCCACCCCCGAATACAACAGAGGCTACTCGAGCGCTAGATCGATAAATTGCAGTATTATAGAACGCCGATTACAAAGGTCTGGGAATCCTGTTAAACATTTAATATGATAAGAGAATTTTAAAACACCCTTATGCCTATCCGTTGAGGAAAGGATCGAAAATCGCGTTCGGTCTGTTTCGTGACTTTAGCGTCAACTTGTTTTTGTTTTCGTCCCCCGGGGCATCAATTCTTACCTGTGATCAACACGATCTGTCCTTCGATGTCTTTTTTCGGTGGTCGCACAACTGCCCGGAAAACAGCTTCAGCCCAGTAGTAAATGATTTTAAGCCACACTAGGAACAATTCAAATATCAGCCACATATTCGCAGGACTTGCAGACTGAGCTCGATCGAGAAAGAACACTAAAAGTAACAACAAGAGCAGGAGACTGAGCGCGCAACAGGGCTTGGAATCTAGGCCACGTGACTGCAACCGATTAAACAACCACGTGGAACCACGTGATTAGCAGAAAAATTGATCTCCTTTCGAATCCTTCAAAAATGAAATAACCTAATTTTTTTCTTAAATAAATACTTTATCCGATCCCCATTGCTTCTCCCGAGTTTGCTTATGGAAGTTTTATTTGTGGTGGGGGTTGGAGAGAGGGTACTCCCTTATTTTGCTTAAACGAGGGAATGTGTTGGCATCGTTGAACAGGGTATGGACCCTGGGATATGGATTCCGGGGTCTGTAGCCTTATGCGGCGTATGTAGGATAGACAAATTTACTATATAGCGTCTAGATTACTGGGTGACTCTCTAGGCCGGGATTCTTGAACAAGGGATGAACGTTGTAGGAGCGATAGCGCGGAAATGAATTATTGTTTTTATCTAAAAAAACAAACGGCCAGGCTTAAAGTGCTCTCTTCCCCCTTCCTGCGAGGGGTCCGGGTTTGATGGGGATAAAAACTTGACAGCAGTTACACTACCCACTTTTCTGAGACGAAAATAGCCTATCAAGTCTTTAGCATTGGCCGATCGGAACTTTTTAAAGTTCCGATCGGCCTCAGTTGTTTAAAAACAACTGAGGAGTTCGCTCATGTAGTCCTTAGGATAGAAAGGGGGGCCTCGAAAATAGTTTTTCTCAGCCTTGCGAGCCTCAGTTTGGACCAACAGTAAGGTGGGACCCCTCCCCTAAATCTGCCACTGTTTTATAGTCATTAAAACATGCACAAACTGTTTGGAAACTACAGTCAAACCCCGTTAACTCGCGGGGTTTGCTTGGGTGAAGACTTGTTCGTGACACCGTAAAAGAGCCTCAAAATGGCTTTAAAAGGTTACTAGGAAAGGCCGACAGTTAAGGGCATCTTTTTAAAGAGATTGCCTATCACATATAAGAGTCTGGTCGGTAGCCGTTTTGTGTATCAGGATTGGTTGCTGTAAAGAAATGGGTGTTGCCTTTACTTAGCTCCGATATTTACTCTGTAAGCTCAATCGCTCATACCTCAATTAGGACGTTTATTTATTAATCACATATAAAAGTTACATTTCTACAAATGGAAGTGAACAGTGTTTTTTTTTCAGCATTTGTTCTCAGCTCTGAAAAAAAAGAGTCCCCGACGATCAGGCAATATTACTTTGCCGGGGGCAGCTCAAGTCATTATTGTCAAGTGCTGAGTTACTCTTCTGCATATTCCGACGTCAGTTGCCGATTAGGAAAAATCCAGCAGAACTGTCTTCAGAATGAACGAATTATAACTAATTAGGTCGCCAGAACATCCCAAATGGATTATTGTATGCTGTAAAAGCGTTATAAGCCTCACTACTTTGAGTAGTCATTTGGTGACTGAAATGCACAGCTGTACCAGGTTGCATTGGTGTTATGTAAGACTGCATGAAAGGCCTAGGGTTACCTTGAAGGCCAACACCGTTCTGTAGGGGATTTTGAGATTGTATAGACTGTATTCCTTGAAAATTTCCGAAATGGGGTCCATAATTTAGTGGATAATGAGTGTAAGGAACTTGAACGTAGCGTTGGTTTTCCACTTTCCTTCTCATATTGTTCTCGAACTGATTGGCGATTCTGCTGAAGTCTCCTGGACTGCGCGCAGGCATCGTGAAGTGTTGTATTGGAGTAGAAGTGCTCCAGCTCTGTTTCTGCCCTTGTCCGTCTGATTTACATGAAAAAAGCATGAAATAAGATGTTAGAAAATATCTCATGGAGGTAAAAAAAAAAAAACTAGAAACTAGAATCAAGGAGAGAAGCGGTGGTGACCTGAATACATAACAAAGGCTATGTTCATACCATACACTATACTATAGTGTGAAGACCAATTTGACCAATCTGACGCTCTACTTTAGAGATCGGCACGGCTCAGCTTCGCTTCGCTACGTAAATCGCTCCTAAATCACCGTTTTTAAGTGTAAACAAAAGCCATGTCCCGTATGGTTTTCGTGCCGGCGCAAGAGCTATCATGTATAGTGTCAACCAATGGTGTAACTAGGTTTTATTAAGGCAGGGGGGGAGGGAGGTGGGCTGTCACACTGCGCACACACTTACAAGATTGGCATGTCGACTTCCACGCCATGTTTTGCTAAGATTGACATTTTTTCGGATGAGCAGTGAGCGTGGGGGGAGGAAAAAGTGTACAAAATAGCTGGAAAGATTTATTGCATATTGATTCTTCGGATTCGCGCGTTTTCTCCACTTGAATGATAGGGACATAAAACAATGAATTATTATCTCACAAAGGGGGATCACGGGCACCACAAGACCCCTCTAGCTACGCCCATGTGAATGGAGCCTAAGACAGAGCATAACGTAGCATACCCTGTAAAGAGGAAAGAGCTGTATTTCGCACTTCATTGTTTCTTTTTGCTTGATAACCTGGGAATTCATTTGCACGTCCACGGCTTTCTGTAACTCGGGTTTGTGAAGAGACAGGCGCCAATAGCTGGGTCCCAAATTCACAACTGTCTACGTGTTTCCTAATAAAATAAATTAATGTGTTTAGAAAGGAAGGTAGGTACCTTCAAACCCCATATTAAAACGGACACCAAAAGAACAGAGCTAAGTGTCTGCATACAGAGGTGTCCATAATACAGTCAAACTCTCTCAAGACAGACACCTAAGTAACAGAGCCAAGTGTGCGCATACAGAAGTAGCCTTATTACAGTCTAGTCGCCTTAATATGGACACCCAAGAGATAGAGTCAGATACTCGGGTTTCCATACTACAATCAAACCTCCTTCATACAGGCAAAGAAGTCCATATTACAGTCAAGTATCCTTGATGAAGACATCAAAACCCTCTTAAGACACGGACTTGCTAAAGGACAGAGCTATAAGTGCCACATTAAAGAGATTTCCTTATTTCAACGAAGTCTCCTTAATACGGACACCCACTGAGGGACAGAGTCAGATAACCACATTACAGACGTGTTCATACTACCGTCGAGTCTCCTTAATGCAGACAACAAAGGGACAGAGGCATAGGGATAGGCAAAGGGACTGCCTGCATACAGAGGAGTCCATATTACAGTCAACCTCTTAAGAAAAATACCAAAGGGACAGAGCCAAGTGTCCGTATGCAGAGTTGCCCTTATGATTAGAATCAAGTATCCTTGATACAGGCGCCAAAAGGGACATAGTGAAGTGACTGTCCGGATACAGAGGTATCCACCTCAGGGAAAGAGCCAAGTGTCCGCATACAGAGGTGTTCGGAGGTCAGGTGTCCTTATTACGCAGCCATGTCTCCTTGATACACACTCCAAAGGACAGACTTATGTGCCCATATTTGAGACCGGGTGTCCTTGTTTTGGTATCCTTGGGACCAAGAAAACCTGCCATAATTGTTTTTGTTAATTTCCTAGCGTGCAGTCTTTTAAGGCGCGAAAAAACTCTTGTTCATTAGTCCTTTTGTCAAAAAATAGACAGCAAGATGCTCTCAAGGAGAGCAAGGTTCTATCTAGGGCATTTGAGGGGTAGAAGCTTCCCCCCCAAAAAATATTGTTATCATTACAGTATATAAGTAACTGTATCGGAAAAATCATCCGGACGCGATGAGGTCAGTGCACATTTCTCAAAATTGGGTCTCAAAATGCACCAGATTGCATCTCAGCGCATATTCATTTTAAACAATTTCCGGGGAAGCATGCCCCCGGACCCCCCTAGGAAGCTCGTGGCCTTCGGGCACTCGGGACTTCTCCCCCAAACGATAAATCCTAGATAGAACCCTGGAGAGGTGAGCTGTATAAAACGGACAGCCGTTTCAGCCGTACTAATTTCGTAAGGCACATGCACTGAACTAATTGACTGTCATTACTGCCACTATACATGCGTCGTTCTCAGGTTTTAAACGTAAAACGGCGATCACCTGCCATTGTGTTGAAAAATCAAAGGATAACAAATTTAATCTGCTATCTGAGTATATATCAGTTACATTCTATATAATACAAGGTACAAACGCACAGAAACTCTAACATTTTTAAAACGCAGTGTATAACCCACCTCTCTTTAATTTTCCGGTTTAAGCTGTAACGTTTCGGAGACCTTGAGCGAGAATTGCGTTCTTGAAAAACCCTTAGATTCATCTTTCTCAGTTTCTGTCTCACAGCTAAATCAAGTCCGTTAAATACAGTTTGCCTCCTATGTCGTTTTGTTTCGATAGCGCGCGCAACAATAAAAGGGCGTTACGCGCTATACTTAGTTACAACAATTTAAGCAATAGGAGCGCGCACTCTTTTAATCGCCTCAATTAAAGGAATCTAAAGACACGAAGTCTTGGATTCAGATTCCACCACGTTAGATTGCGGATTCCATGTACTGGATTCCGGATTCTCTGTCAGTGGAACTTTAATAGACACCGGACTAGTCCAATCCTTAGTGGGATTCCGGATTCCTTGAGCTACATTTCTTCAGATTCCTCAAGCAAAAAAATTCGTGTATTCCGGAATCCCGATTCCCTTAAGCTGCTCACGGAGTAACCTAATTCCCAAGGTTCTCTCCTACCCGCCCCACTGAGCGAGAGACAGGCCCTGCTGGGAACGAGGTTGCACACTGGGTCTCTAGCATCGTCTCTAGACATTTATGATTTACATGTTACTCCTAGGAGTCTGTTAAGGACGATAGTGCAAAAATGTTGTTGTTTTCTTTATCGTCTTACCACCGCTTTTCTTCACAAGGGAATACGTTACTTGCGCCATAAAAAAAGGTCAATAGCAGAGCCCCAGGCCACCCCTGTCGCTGACTCATGACTTCTGCTTGTGCAATCCTACCCACAATTCATCTCCAGTGTCAATCCAAGATGGAGTACATGGAAGCAGTTCCGAGTTCAGAAACGCAAACAAGGTACTATAAGATTAATTTTGGCTTCAAATGATTTCCTTTACTTATTTTTTCATTTTATATTTAACAAGTTTCACTCTTTTTCGTTTTCTTTCCCTTGTTTTTTCAGTTTGTGTTGTCAATGTGGTGTTTTAACCACTCCAAACCCATCCAACATGTGCGTTGGATGTCTTCGGACCCAAGTTGATATCACGGAGGGAATTCCCAAACAAAGTAATTTGAATTTCTGCAAATCATGTGAAAGGTACGATACAGATATATTTGTTGTTATCGAAGTAAATTTGGTGGAACAGATTCAAGAGAAACACAATAGTACACTCTAAACCGTCCGCTTTACCTTAAAACTAGTAACTTTAATTTGCCTATGATCTACGATTGCTGCAAAAAATCAACCAGGGTAGCAGTTGCACGTGGAAAGCAGCCTAGACATGTGAACGAAAGTCTGTCTAAGCAAATCATGTTATTGTCCATGACTGATAATTCTTGTTCCAATGTAAACACTAGTCACGTGGCATGGACTATTTTTGTAGCAATCAGGGTGATTGCTACAATCATATGGAAATTAGCCTTAGCTAGTTGCCTAAAGGTCATCTTTCCTACAGTTAAGCTGCCCAAGCCCTCGTGTATTTGTGCTTAGATACACTCCAAGAAGCCTGGAAATCTCCTGCTAGCCCCCCTGAGGGGTGGGGGATAGGGAGCGAGGGAGGGTGGTTATTATTTCAAGCATATTTGACCTAACATTTGACTGAAGAACTCCAACTTTTCCCGGGGCGAGGGTATTAAAAATTTGAAAAGAAATCTCCAAAGTGGCAATAATGAATAAGGCAGAAATAATAATAATAATAAAAAATCACGCACCCTTTCTCTTTTTTATAGAAATCTGTATGATTTTTTGTTTTTACTTGGCTGTATGAGTGCCTTGTGATAACATTCCATGATTTCATTGATAACTGCAGTTGACCCAAAGCTAGACTCCAGCTGAGAGGAAGATGATCGTAATAATGAAGAAAAAAATGATTTCTTTAAAAGTGGAGTGATTATTGAAGGGGGTGCTTAGAGCAGCTGCTACTAAAATACAATGGCATCAGTCTATAGTTTAGTATTACAGTGGAACTCCGTTAATGCGACCACCGTTGGGCCATAAAATCCTGGTCGTAATAACGAGGTGGTCGCATTAACAGGGTCTTCAAAATAATAAAATGACCCAGTGGTTTTTACGTTTGGTTTGAAAGAATATGGCTGTAATAACAAGGTGGTCTTATAAATGGGGTGGTCGTGAGGCGGGATTCCACTGTACATACATACATACAACCTGTCTTCATATACAAAGTCAAGGCTGTTAGCTTGTGGGGTCGTGTAATAAAAGGATTGAGCTTTACAGGTAAATCATACTAACTTGGTCTCAATCCTTTTTTGTTTTAAACTCAGGTATCTTCAGCCACCGAGTCAATGGGTAGCATGTGCACTAGAATCCAGAGAGCTTCTGGCTCTGTGTTTAAAAAAACTGAAAGGATTGAATAAGGTGTTATTTATTATGCCATGTTGGTCACATGTTGATGACAGAATCTGTGTCAGTCTTGCTTATAATAATTATTTACCTAAACCAAACAGAATGTGTCCTTTAAAAGTAATGATTGTTCATTTTGAAATGCTCCTTGTTTATTTCTCTTGTTATAAAATTATGGTTTCCTTTGCTTTTAGGAATTTGATTACTGCTATATCAATCTTTCTAGAAATATCTTGTAGTTTTTTGTCGTCATGTCATGGTACAGACTTTTCCGCATGGAAATGCGTAAGGCATACCAGCAAATCTATTTAGTTAATGCCCTAGGCATAATGCATGTTTACTTTATTATACAAGATGATACACAGCAAAGGAGAAATTCATAACCCTGCTAACATTGGAGTTGTTATCATAGGATATCTGCTGCTAGAGTCGCTATTTTTTGCTACCTTCGGTTTGTGTCGTCAACCAAATTCGAACCCATCAATACTGCTACCGAGAACTACGTCTATTTTCGAAACCACAATGAGGCTTTAAACATCATCACTATTGAACTCTAAGGATTTTTCATTAAATCTGTCTTAAATTATCATGTAGAGTTTGAATCATCCAGTGCCATGCACTGCGCTACCTCTGTAACTTGTTGAGATTTGAGTATTCACAAACTCTAGAGTCTCAGAAATTACAAAGATTTTCAGTGTTCTGCATGCTCTGGTGATTGATCAGAGCACTGACCTATCAATAGTGCTGTCAACAAACTGACTGCGTGTTACTCATATTGTAGGTTCGCCTTGTTGATGCTGGATTTATTTGGACAGAACCTCATTCAAAGAGAATCAAAGTGAAATTAACCATTCAAAAAGAGGTTTGTGATTTCCTGTTCTGGTTTTTATCTGTTAACTTATTGTGTTGATTTTGTGTTTAAAAATTGTTTTTTCTTCTTTCCTCTTCTTTAAAATTTTTGGCCTGTACATCTTCCCTTGTATAAAATTCGATTTGAGAGGGAAAAATATGCTTCATCCATTCATACCTTACAACTACAAACTTTTAGCTCACTAGTAATAATGAAAATAAACTCTCATTGTTGTAGGTAGTAAATTCAACAATATTACAGCAAGTTTTTGTGGTGGAATTTGTTGTACAAAATCAGATGTGTGATGCCTGTCATCGCCAGGCAGCCCAAGATTATTGGAAGGCAGTTGTGCAAGTCAGACAAAAGGTACAGAAAACGTGGTACAGTTCTACCTTTTTTGAATGTGTGTAAGTGGAAGCTTCTGTCATGGTTGAGATCTGGTTCAAGATGGCCTCGGCTTTCATTTTATTTTTGTGGAGATGGAATGTCATTAAACCTGGCCTGTAATAGTTGCATACAGACAAGTGAAGCTTCTTTTTAAGATAAAATGTTGAATATCAAGGCACTTAGAAAAAATGTGGTGGTACACTTTTGTGATCAGTCTCAAATCAGCATTGTCTCAAGTTTGACCTTGCCTAAATTGCATTCTAAAAGGCTTAACCAACTGGCTTTTCTCTCTGGAAGGTTGTCATAGTTCCAGTGTACAATTTTTGCAGCCAATTTCCATCCTTTATTTAGGTTTAATGTTTAAATTTTTTGTTTCAGACATCCCACAAGAAGACTTTCTTCTATCTTGAACAGCTTATTTTAAAACACAGTGCGCACCAAAACACTGTTAAAATCAAACAGGAATCAGGTAATTTTATTGACTGATATTATCTTAAATAGTTCTAAATTATTATCAAGAGATACGATGGAATTCATGCAAGGAGGTAATATGGTGTAATAGTTATTGTATTGGGCTTGCAATGAATCCAGAGGTTTCAGTTTTTAATCCTACTTTGACCACCTGTTGGATTCCCTGAGGAATTTGAGGTCAGCTCCTTGGTGATGTGTACTAACTGGCATGGTACAATTATACCAGCTGCCTGTAATGATACATGTCTTTATAATGAATTGTAACCGATAAATCAGAATATATTGTGATAAACCAATAGACGGGTGTAGATGTAGGGAAGGTGCCAGGTCAAATGGAGGGAGCTGCAAGGTAACACAACCATGACAACCCCGTGAGCAGCAACCACCAGGCACTGTCACAGTGATAACCGCAGTGGAGAGTATTGCAGATTGATATTTAGCACAAGAAATTTAGAGTATTGGGAGGACTGGGAACACAAATGGCTCAAGTGACTGCATGCAAACAGCAATGTGAAGGAAATGATTGATCTAAGTGAAAGCACTGAAAACATTACCATAGCCCAGCTGCAAATGAATTAAGACCGTCCCAGATATGATTAGTCATGGAGACTGCTGGTCAGCAGATGGTGTCTTGTGTTGAATTTCACCTGAACTACGTACATTCAGCAACCTTTAACAATATTTGGTTGTTCCTGTAGATGGTGTGGATTTTTTCTACGCATCCAGAGCTGATGCTCGCAAGTTTGTTGAATTCCTTCAGTCAGTAGTCCCCTGTAGGTAAGTTGAGGGCTCAAAAGATCCCAGCCATTAATCCAGCCCAAGTGTATTTTATTTGTTAGACAAATAACTTTTCATTGGCAACTTAGACAAGGAAGCAACAGACCTGGGCTACAACCAAGTGCAAAAATGTTGAGACACTCCAATGAAAAACTGGCCTTTTTGACTTGAAATCTCTGCTAGTCCCACTACTGTGCAATATGATACTCACCTCCCTCCTACCCTCCATTCAAAGCTGTTCCTCCATATTTTGAGCATGGTCTTGTATTGCTAGCATCTTTGATAAGGGGAGGAGGGGGGATCACAAGAACAGGATCATGGGCAGGCCATTTAAGCCAAAATAAGGTAGTGTCTCAAGTACTTTTGCAACTGGTTGTAGCAAAGTTTGTATGGGAAAAGCTGAAATTCAATGTTTATTTTCAAGCCCTGAAGTACAGCTGTAGCCTGCGAGTAAACAAGCATCTTTGGAGAGCTTGCTCGCAGACCCTGAAGCCCTAAAGTTGGCATGTGCAGTACGTCTAGTACTCTTTATTGGATAACAGAAACAAGCTGTTTCCTTCACACACTTTACCTGGCAATTGTGTGGGTTTGAGTCATGACTTACATGTAAGAGATACATCACAGGTTGAAGTCATTGAATCAAAACCTATTTAAGGTATTATATAAAGCCCTTTTTGATACCTTGACTTAAGTGTTTATGCTTTTTTAGATCAGTGTTGGTAGCACTATCACCTCTTTCCATACACCTCCAGCCTATTTATAATGATGGGTACCATTTTTTTAGGTGGCACCTCAATGTAGAGCCTCTCTTCCATTCTGCACCTGTTCCCACCACAAACACATCCCTTATCCCTCTCATATGAACAAATAAACATTCTAATTGTGTGCAATAATTTTTGTTTCTTATTTGTTGTCAGGTACAAGACATCTGAGAAGCTTATATCACATGATGTACACAACAATACATATAACTACAAATACACTTTCTCTGTGGAAATTGTTCCTGTCTGCAGGGTTGGTTAACTCTTTATTAATTTTGTCACAATGTAATAACTCAACCTTTGATTATTGACTTATAATTAACTCTTTTTATGACTTTCAGGAAGAAATTATTTGTCTCCCTTTGAAAGTGTCAAGATCATTGGGAAATATCAGGTAATGTTTCATGGTACAGTAAATCAATACATTTGCTTAATCTGTGTATACAGTGTAGTTATTTAAAAGAGTTTGTAAAAGGTTTGAACCCAGGAGTCATTTTATAAGTAGGTTGAGAATGATCTTTCGGGTGAACGTAGTCCTGAATAGGACTGTTGTGGTTAACAGTGACTGATGTTTCGATAACCTGTGCGGTAGTCATCTTCAGAGTCAAAATGACTTGTATCACATCCGTTGATGGTATTAATTTCTGGTTATTGACCTGATTGGTCAATTAAGTCATGAATCATGTTACTGGTTGTCTGTCAGTTAAGCCAAGATGTTATTGGCTCTGAAGACTCGTAATGCCATTGGTGCGTTTCAGTCCTTCTGTTTTCACAGTAAAACAGTCATTTATTGTTAGTCAAATTTTCAGTTCTCTCATAGTTAGTTTTGCTTGATGATCAAACCTTTCATTCCAAGACTGAAATTGTGGAAAGATGATTCATCATTCTGACTTGAGCATCTGTGGATGAAACCCTGTGGTGTTACCATTCATTATTGAAACCTCTGTGATAAAAATTCAGCACATTGCTGTTTATAAATAAATTATGTTAGAATTTTACAAAATGAAAATTTGCAATTTTTGGCAAAGTTTTGTTAATCATTACTTTGGCCCTGTGAGACATGAAAGGGTTGCATTAGTGTTCTGTACAGTATACTCTGTGGTTTTAATGCTAGGGTTCTCTTTTTTTATGTTCTAAATAGCCAAATTGTCATCTGTAACCGAGTCAACACAAGTCTACAGTTAATTGATCCAGTAACATTACAGAGTAAGTTATCATTTATTATTAATTTTTAGTGGGCCAGTAGAATTTGGTTGTTTTAATAACTAAAGGACACACAATTATTTTTACAGTCTTCAATGATCTTATTAGTCTCGCTTGCTTTAGCAAAGCGAGAATCTTAAAATGCAGTTCGGTTTTTTTTTTTTCGGTGGGACCTAGTTTGTAGGTCCCGCGTTCCAAGCGAAGACCGTGGAAACTGGGGATAAGAATCGTGACGACTTTCATTGTATGGAAATGAGTCTCGTGATGAGCATGTGGTTTATTTTGGGGGATGACTGGAATAACGCGCAATGTTTATCACGTTTAAGTGCTTTTCTTCCATGCAAGAAATCAGACTTTGTCTTTTGCGTTAAAACAGGTTACGTTTCATGCTTATGACATAGTAAGCCGATAAAATCGTAAGTGCAAAACAGACATAACAAAAAGTAAAACTGTAAACTCTCTCTGATCTTATGGTAATTTGGTTCTGACCTTCACGATCACGTGCGAAAAAGTAAATACAGCTAAACGTGACAGAAAGAATAGTTTTGTAAAGACGTGTTCCGGGTCATGGTAGCGCAGAATCTGGGGATGAAAATCGACACGATGCTCTCAATCTCAGTGAACGCTTCGAAAAACAACGCGCAATTGTCCGAATGTTATGTTTTGAGACGAAAAATTTGGAAAGATTAATGGATTATACGGTGATGTCGCTTACAAATCCACACACCATTCGTGGTAGACCCACACTAAAAGATGTCGAGCGTTTTCGGAATGGTTCGTTCTACGAATTCTGTCGTTTGAAAGCGTTGATAACTTTGAAAGAAGTGAATACATCAGATGTTGAAACAAGGAAGAATGTTCATGAGCAGAACTTCGATGATGAGGTAAAAAACAACAAGCAAATCGTCGTTAATTTACCTCTCGTGTTCAACAGCCTGATTCTTTTCCTTTTTTCCATGATGCTGGATACTTAATTGTAACGAACAACTTGATATTTCGTACATCATTAATATTATTGTACAGGCGATGATAAATGTCGAGGAAACAAATCTTGGGCCGATTTTGGAATCTTTGAAACTCAAATGAAATTCAATGAAATTGCCTGATTTGACTAACCTGATCTAGAATTCTTATGTATTTGCGAAATACTGTAGGAAAACGGCATAAAAAAGAATTCAAATTCATTTTCGGCGACCGAAATTTACGGCTTCGAGACAGCACTTCCGTTTGCTGTCCACTTGCTGTCCACCGCAACAGATGATGACGGAAATGACGTAGTAAGGTAAAAGTGTTCAAGATCAGAGCAATAAAAGGAGATGGTAAACCTACACGACTTTTACCTCATGCCAAAATGCTGCTCGTTCCAATAAAGTTTTTTTCGTCTGCTGGGTAGATTATGCTCTGGAAGGTTCTACATTTTCACTGAGTAAATGTTATTTTACCCGCATGTTTCACACTGAGAGATCATGACACACATATCGATTTACTGTGGCTATTAGCGGGGAAGAGCGTTGCGTGACGACATTAAAAACGGCTGTGTAGCAGACTATTTTGAAGCATGATGGTGAAGCTTTTTATTACGGCTGAATGAGGGTTCCAATTTTCTCCAAAGTATCTTCTGGATCTGAATAACTAAGCGATTTTCTTTAGTCCATGAATGTAATGTTTTTGTGCAATGCTGTATCACGTTAAGCCCAACTCATTAGTTTTGTTTGGAAAATCTTAAATTATTACGGGTAGTGATTTACACGTCGTGTGTACTGTTGCAATAAAACGTAATACTGAGTAGAGCGGAGGTACAAGGCAACTGTAATATCATCACGACTGAGCCATTCTTCGGTGGTTCCAACAATGTGATCACTTGCGTCTTTGGCTGTTCGTTTTGCGACTGGGAAGTGGGAAGCCTTTACACAAGCGAAACCTGCTTAAAGACATCGAAGACTGTTGGCATGTACACAACAAATCTTCAGTCTTGAAAGATCTTCACTTCACTTAAAACTCTGTTGCCTTCGCATAGATCTCTAAGATCTTTAAAACTCCCTCCGCAGCTGATGTTTTGATTCTCGAATTAGCAGCGGTCTGTTGCTTTTGCGTTTCCGGTCTCATTCACTTCCGTCACCGAGAGATGCGGTTCACAACGAACCAAGTCACGTGGTACAAGTATCCTCCCTTATCCTTTTTTTTACTCGCCACTTCGCGCTTCGGTCGCCCTTCTGGCGACGGTCTTCCGTCACCCTTCGGACGACCTGCTGTGCACCAACGAGAATATAGCTTGCGGTTATTGATTTTCAAAATGGCGAACAACAAAGTCGATCTGGATCAGGTAAAAAGCAAAGAAATCCTTTACAGTAGATTCATTAAGATCCCATTGGGCTAATTAATCGTGCTAAGCGACAGGTATAAACATTTTTCGAGGTGAGACTTTAAATAATTAATTTATTTATTCACACGCAACTCCTCTGGACCCTGTGCAGTAGATTGAAATCATAATTCAACTTTTTCACTTGCTGTCGGTGACTCTGAGGAATTATGACGAACCCCTGACACATAATGTATGATCCAAATCAGGTTACCATTTTATTCAGGCAAATGAGAAAGACTGTTGGCCATTTATTTAATTGACTTTGAGTTTCTTTTGGTAAATTGAACATGTCTGCAGATCTTCAGCTTTAAAGTGAGAGTCTTTCATTATTGATCTGTCCGGCCATAATTTCCATCTGCAGTTACATGCAGGTTTTTGTCAGACTTTGGGCAGATTTTACTCAGGCATATACGGTGACAGACTGTTATTTGCAACTCTGGGCTTTACCAATCTTCTTTGTTTTCTGCAGTGTCAAAAAGTTATTTTGATATTTCAATTAATTCTGTGAACTTTTAGTGACCACTAACTTGTCTAAAATATCACTTAATTATAAGGTGGATGTACTCTCTGATTATATCAAGCCAACACTGTAGTATTCTTAGAAAAAATGTTTTATAAAATTGATGTAATTTTGTTTTGTTCTCATTTTAGCTGCAGACGTAACAGCACCAAACTTCTGGCGTTTTCCATTTAAAAGTCTGTGTACATATAAACAGCTGACAGAGTTTATGGTTCTACAAATAGAACCGGTTGAATCACAAAACCCTAAAGCATCCAGCAGCAACCTCAGTCAAAGGGTATAAAATGTTATTACAATATATACTGTTGCCAGAAGGCTCTCAGAGACCCCTGTTTCTATTGGCCGGTTAAACCATGCCTGCTATTGCTGTTAGTGATGACACGAATGGGTCATTCATCTGTTATTTGTTAGCCATTTAAACAACTCATTCTTAGAGCTTTGTGGTAACTCTGTGTAGTTCTACAAATGTATGTTAATAGTCTGTGCACATGTACTTTTTAGGTACATTACATTGGCTTTTGGTTCTCGTAATGGAGCTTTTTGTCGGAATTTTTAAACCCCTGTAAGTCCTCTAGTAAAAGTTCATAAAAAAATTCAAACTTCTGTGGGTGAAATCGTAAAGATAAGAGTAGTACTCAAGCATTTGTGTTGTCTACTAAGGGTGAAAGAGGTCCAAGGGTAAAAGAGTTAAAATCTTTGCTTTTCCTGTCTGTAGCCATTCCCTCCCCATGAAAAGAATAGAAACTGTTACCTATAATTTTCTTTCTTTTGGTGGACTATGTACAATACAATACAATACAATATTCTTTATTTAGCATGTTTGTGGGTCATTTTTTGTTGGTCTTTGATTCAGGACTTATTGGCTTTGGCAAGTTCTGGATAATGAAAAGACTGTTGCTTTACCAATGTCTTTACTAAAAGTTTGTCAGGACCACTTGTTACTTCTGATACATTGTACAGTGCAACCCCATTAATACAGATCAAAATATGGATCAAAAAAATTCGGCCGTATTACTGAGTTATAGTCAAATTTCATGACTGGAGGGCTGTAATAACAAATAATATTAATACAACACTAATTATTGCATTCGCACCTTTTGAACAACTAGTAATTACAAAAACTATTTGAAACTTTCCTTCAGGACATAGCACTAAAAATTGGCTTTTGAACTGCCACAAATGCATTTTAAGCATACTGTAGTTTAAAATCAATACAAGAGAATTGAGAGATCAAACTCAGCCTACCAGGTTAAATTGAAATTGAAATTGTCACAAGCATTTCAATTTTCTAAATTTCAAAAGGGTGGCTGTATTAATGGGGTGAAATTATAACTGATTCTACTGTTTGGGATTCTTATATGTGGTGGTTGGCCATGTTAACGGGTGACCGCATTAATGGGTGTTTTTTAATAAGAAAATGTATGGCCATTTTGCCAGGCCATAAGAAAGTGGATGCTATATTGAGGTGACCATATTGCTGATGTGGCCGTTAGGCTAAATATATACTGGAAATGTTATAGGATCTCCTTTTGTTGTTTGTTGATTTGAACTACAGTCAACTCCGGATAACTTGAACCTTCTAGGGAAATCAAAACAAGTTTGAGTCATTGGAAGTTCAAGTTATCGGGAGTTCAAAGCAAATAACTGGGAATATGCAAATAAGCAAATTGTTGGAGAGGGAATGCAACTACTATGCACCCTTCGCTTCAAGGGTGGCAAAAGATATAGATTAATATTTTAAAAAAAGGAATTACGAGATGGACACTGAATTTGATCTTGAGTGACAGAAAAGTAAAAGCAAAGAATTGACATGAAGGATTCTTGTTTTGATTGTTTTTTCATTTTGTTTTGTCAATGTTTTGGATTTCAGTTCACTGTTTATTTTTATGACTTGTCATGAGTTATTGAGGGTAGAATTATATAGAAATGATCTGAAGGGAAACAAAAATTACTTCAAGTTAGCAGGAGGTTCGAGTTGTTGAGGGTTCGACATACTGAGGGTAAAATTACAGTAAGTGTATGAAGGAAATCCAGGGGAAATTGACTTTGGTTCAAGTTAGTGCGAGGTTCAAGTTAGTGAGGATTCGAGTTATCAGGAGTCAACTGTACTATGTTTGTTTTCTTACCTATTTTCAGCATGTACTGGCAGATGCATGGGTTGCGCGTATGCAGGATCTTGGTGTAAATGACACACAGTATCACTGCCGTACACACTTGGGTCACTTACTGAAGACTGGAGATACTGCACTAGGGTATGAACCACCTTCCAGTTAATGCTGGGTAACATCACCCCTCCATACCCTACAGAGTATAAAACTGTTCACAACAAGGTTTGATTACTCCCCCTGTTCCTTACCGATTACATGCCCTGAGGTGATTGCTTCCCTGTAACCTGAGGGAAAAAGAACCTCTTATACCATTATGTAATTAAACTCATCTTTTGTTGTCATTGTACATGTAACTGTTTTTTCGGTTTAAACCGCTCAGTTAACTAGTAAAGGTCATTAAGGACAGAAATATCATGATATGTACATGAAGAGCATGGAGAATTAACTTATTAATGTTGTCGGATCTTTCTTTTAGATATGATTTCACCTGTTCAAATATGAATGATGACAATTTGAGTAAAATGAATGCTGAACGGATCCCAGACGTGGTAAGTATTGGTGCTGCATGGTTTTGTGAACTTACATTATATACTACAGTCAACTCTCTCTTAACGGACACCTCTATAAGACGGACACCTCTGTAAAACGGACACCTACAGTTGGTCCCTGCCTTTCTTTACTCCCTTTGTTTGACTCTCTATAAGACGGACACCTCTCTAAGACGGACACTTAGAGCCGGTCCCAAAGGTGTCCATCTTAGAGAGAGTTGACTGTATACTAAAATTTATTTTAAATACACCTTTGAACATACATGTAAATGTATCTGACATTGGTATGGTTTTTCCAAATAATGGGTTATCTGTTTTATCACTGAATGGTTGCCTTTAGTTAGTCCCAAGTCCAAATTCAGCGATGAACATTCACCCTTTCTTAACAAATTTATATTTCCAGGTTTTGGTCAAGAAATGTTATGGTGACAAAAAGAAGCGGCAAAAGAGAAGAAACTGGAAGCTGAAAACTCTTAACAAGGAAGTGGCTGGAATAGACCATGACAGTCTTGGCAGGTGAATATTCAATTTACAGGGGAACTGTCAAAACTTTTATACAGTCTGAAATAGTGGCTTACATTAAGACAGCAATAGATCTATTATGCCTGTACATGTATGATTGTTTTATTATTCCTCTTGACAAAGGTACAGTGTTAGCTCCAAGAGCTTGTGTGTAGTCAACATTTTTTTTTTCATTTAATTCTAGCTCTTTTTATGAAATTATTAACACACTTTTTGAAATAACTTTTCTTTAAATTTTAAACCATATCTACTGTCACCTGTTGCTATGGATGGGTGTGGTAGAAACGGAGGCATAAAAGTAAAACTGATGTGCATCTGTCACTAAGTGGATTCTCAGTTTTTACTGTCTTAGACAGAGCATTATCATCATCGTCATCACCTTATTTGCTACAGCAGGTTATTTCATGTATAGGGCAGGTACCCAACAGACCCAACGGACCCAGCTGACCAGTCATTGGTTCACCAGCCCTTATGTAATACATGTTTTTTATCTCAACCTTCTCAGGGATTATGATGCTTTCCTGGGTGATCTGGAGGAAGACAAGTCTTACAGACAAAATATTAACATCTATGTTGGTATGTCATTACATCGACTATACATGGAGTTTTTTCCTGTTAGCCCTGTTTTGCTAGGCCTCCTGGGTAGATTCTAAAGACAAGCTTGACCGATGACCTCACCACCAAACTCGCTGAGGGTCACTGGGAACGAAGCTGTTTAATGTGGTTTTGTTCTGTTGAGTTTTTTATCCCTTGTCCTTTTTTTATTTACGTAATTTTTTAAAACCGTAAACTGAAAAACGATTCTGAATCATTTTTATTATTGATTCTCTTTCAGACCGTGATTATAAAGGCGCCCCTGAGAGTGATGACGATACTGAGGCCCCACGGATAAGTCTCCAGGAGATGTTAGAGGACCTGCACCTGGAGGCACCTGATGGAGCCCCATCTGACATGATGACTGAATAGTGCACCTAGGCTTATGCCCCAATTCCTGATAAAAACTTTAAAGGAACCTTATGGAGCCCCATCTGATATGAGGACTGAACAATGCTCTTTGGTTTAAGCCTCGTTTCCCAGTAAAAACCTTGGACTACACCTGGAGGTGCCTTAGGGAGCCACATCTAACATAATGACACCTGAAGGAACCTAATGGAGCCCTATCTGACATGATGACCGAATAATACACCTAGGCTTATGCCACAATACCTAGTAAAATTCTTGTTCCACACCAGAGGAAACCTGATGGAGCCCCATCTGTTATGACAGGGGAATAATGCACCTAGGCTTATGCCACAATTCCCAGTAAAAACCTGGGAGCTATACCTGGCGGAACCTGTTGGAGCTGTATCCAACTTGATGACCAAATAATGCACCTTCTCTTGCGTGTAGGTCTTAGACCTACATGTACATCTTTAGGAACCTTATGGACCCACATTGACATAACTACGTGCCCGGCACAAGACCATGTTACGACCCTAGATATACACTTGAGGGAACTGATAGATCTGCAGTCAGATGTGAGTGGCTGAATAAGACACCTGTTGTGATGTCAAGACCTGGCTGCCACGACCATTATCTAATAGATTTTAACTGAAGCGCATAACTGGAGTGACTGCCAATTTAGCTACAAAAAACAAACTCCTGTAATACAATCATGTGACTGGCTTGGCTTAGATGTAAAACAGCAAAAACGTTTACTTTAATGAATTAATACAGTCCCACTCTGATTCACAGTTTTCACAATCACATCATTCATTCAGTGTATCATTCATTCAGTATATCATCCATTCAATGCTGTTTTGTCGCTGATCTTGTTAGTTGCAAGAGTACCTGGAATAAGTTCATTCTACGTTTCTTGGAAACTGCCCACCTACCCCTCCCTTAAGCCAGCATTTTGCCCCAAGTGAGAAGTAAGTATTAATGTTGGCTAAGGGGAGGGGTAGGTGGGAAGTTTTCCGGGAACGTATAATCATCCCTGGAATACAAACTCAAGTATGGGTTTACTTTGAGTTGGGAAAGTCTTTTTGATCGAGCAATAAAGTAGCCTGTGAGTTAAAACATATTTCTGGGTGTGAAGTGGTGTTTCAAACGATTTCTCTCCTGTAATTAAATGCGTTGAGAAGAAACACCTTCTACCACTAAGAGACTGGGCAGGAATTCAGTTTCTTTCCGTCTCCACCCTCCCCCCCCCCGCCCTTTCCCGCGGGAACGACGTTGCTTAAGAGTGGTCCAGAATGTCATGTACACACAAAGCCATGAATATTATTAGAATGGAAAGTGCTTTTTACCGTGTTCACCCTTTTCGTATTGCCCATCAAGGAGATGTTACCTTCGCAACGACGATTTAAGCGTAACAGAGCGTTGCAACATTGTATTGAATTGTAACAACATGGCTACAACATAGTTGCACTGAAAGTAGGTCGTAAAATCGTCTCGTATAGCATCACTTAGTGGACTTTGTCTGCTCCGCATTATTTAACATAACCGTTGTTTGAAATTTCCCCATTAATACAGTCGTCCCTTGAGAAATTGAAGACAATGCGTAAGCAAAATTGAGGAGGAGGGGGTAAAGAAAGTGCACTTTGGGAATGCCAAATTGGTGAACTCAACTCTCCATTACAATATTCATAATGTTCCTTATTTATACATGTACCCTTCTACACGAGCTAAAGCAATCAAACTTTTTNTTTCTAATACAACTGGTATTCTGCAAAAAAAAACTATGTGGTTTATTGGTGTTGAAGTAGAGCAAGAGACGAGTGCACCCCCTCCTAAAAAAAATCCTGGATCCGCCCCTGAGACGGGAGGTCGTACGCTGACGTCATAACCAAATTTTCTCGGATGGATAGATTACGAAATTTTTTTAGCTATAGGATTCCGCTCGCGCGCGCTTAGTGTGCGAGAAGCTCTACTAAAAAACAAAAGGAAAAAGGAAGACAAAAAGGTCCATTATCCCCTTTGACGAGTGCTCTGAGCGAGTTCCAGCCATATATAATATTTTCGAAACCCATCATTTGAAGCGTTTAAGATGATAAACAGCGAATTCAATTAGGATAGATCTGCACACAGGGTATCTCATTTTGTTAATTCAATTCTGACCAATCTCGCTAGAGTTACACACAACAGACCCTTCTAAAATTTTGGGGAAAACCCACTGCCAATTTCTATGTTTATCCACTATTTATTCCAGATAAAGTTTTCCCTTTCCTGGAGAGATAGCCAGTCATAATTTCGTAAGAAAAACTGATTTATATACTCATTTTGCTTTAGTAAATGAGAACAGTAATGTAGGAGCTGAAAAGACCCAAATGAGAAGGTCGCCATGTTTTTTGCACTTGTTTTCACTCACCTCGCACGCATTGAGGACCGTTTTAGTTTTCGCGGGAAATCTAGTGCCGCGAGGATTCTGGGAACGAGAACCAAATGCGGTACAATGGAGGCCATATTTTTAACGGAAATGGGGAAAATGTTACAGTTTGTGGTAAAAAATATGCGCAAGTTGGACTGTTTTTGGGCTGCTACCATTGGAAGTGTTTCCTTTCTCGTTCTGTGGCATTTTTGGGCAAACTTAGTCACCAGTATGGCTGCAGATCACTGGAAAGTTGACCATGTTTTGTACTATGTTTTACGACCACATCGCCTCGTCAAATTTATACTGGTAAGTTTTACATGTATACTCCTTGCTTTATTTCGAAAAAATCTTCAGTTACACTTCCTTTAGAGGAGGATTTCTTGCCTGAAAGTTCAGATGGCGTGAAATGTTGTCACAGTATGTTGTTGATATTTGTTTGTATTGTTACCTGAGGACTATCTTTTTTACCATGCAAATGAGTATGTGACAACAATAGGGCCATTGTTTTCTAACCCTAAAGTCTGTCCGCAGTCTGCATTTTACACTGCCACGTATTGTTATGCTCCAAGCCAGAAATTTAAAATATTGAAGTGACAAGTATCAGATTAGCTTGCTTGTTGGAGCGATTTTACTTGAACCGTGAAATAGGTAGTAGAATACAACGCACTACTATGCATTAATTCTATTGTCTTCTTTTGTTTACCCCTCACTATTTTGCACTATTTGTTAGTTTCTATTTCATGGTTCAAGTAAACTCATTCTATTTATCTTCGCTTTTGTAAGGAAATTTTTACAACTCAATTGTAAAATGCAGTTAATGGAGTGTGACACCCTCAATCAGCAACATGTAGCGCAATCTTATGCCAGCCCCTATCACATCTGAGCATAGTTGTTAGAAGGTCGATTAGCGCTAACCCGGGGTTAAATTTAAATCCAGGATTCTTTTTCTTTCTGGAGTTTAATCATAGTAGGTCAAATTACTGGGTGGCATGTAAATTTACTTCCACAGTTGGCAAATTACGGATACAATGGCAGTTCTAGTTTATGGTGCAGTTGGGGCTAGTTTATAATGCGTCGCTCTTTTTGTAAGGCTAGTAAAACTAATTTTCCTCATGCATATCTTCTGGAACACTTCAAGCGCACGTTGTTTCGGGTAGTACAGTATTTATCATTGGCTTACCCTCACTTAACAGGTCAACTATAAAAGGCCTAGTAAAAATCCTGTGTCTCATTCTGAGCTGTACTGCTAAGTTGTAATAGTTCAACCGTCCTAAAGTTTTGTAAGATTATATAAATTGGGCCTTGTTTAGAATTTTTGGGATACACATGTATAAACTGAGTTATTACTTTCAAACCTCCTTGTGCTGCGACTTTCTCCATAGTTTCATAACAAACAAACAACAGCAACAACAACAAAGAATAACAACAAAACAAAGTTTAAAGAAAACAATAAGTTTATTAGTTTTTGTTATACAAACACATGTATATAGATGTTACAGGTCAAAATTATATTCAATTTAAAATTTTTTAACCTAGGTTGATTCTAAAGTTTCTTTGTCTCCCAGCCCTAATTCACGAATAATCAGGGTTAGGATTAGGACACAAATGAAATAGCTGATCAACCCAGGTTAAAAAGTTTTGACCTGAATTTAATTTTGACCTTTAACATGGCCAAACAGTGACCAAATTTTTTATTAGTTAACCATAGGTGTGGAGATTGATAATGGGAAGCTTAAGCAATGGCATTTTTTGAGCAACGCACATCAACTGGAAGTGGACTTTTTACATCCTTGGGCAGGGGTTTGGCCCAAATTCTTGGGCAAATCATCTTGTAAGAGCAAAGACACTTGTTTGTGCCAAGGCAAGGCTGCTACCTAATGGGAGCCCGGGAGCCAGAGGCTCCTAAGGCTTTCCCTCGCACCACCAACATTTTAAACAAGGAGCCCGAATGGGCGCCTAAAATTTCTGAGTATGATTATCTTATGGGATTGGGCATAACCTCTATACCTATTTCCAGTGAATTTGGGCTAAAGTAGTAGCAAAAATCATGGCTGTCATAGTGTAATTTCATCGAGTTGGTAGTCTAGAAGCTTGGTTCGGAATATTCCCAATATACAACTGCTTTAGAAATGGCTTTGCATGCAAAGGAGGACCAAACAGGTATTTAACGTCCTTTATCATTTATTTTAATCTTGTGTGATTTTTAAGACTGCGGTCATACGGACCGATGTGACAGATGTGAGTGGAAATTCACTTTTATCGACTTTTATATGGTTTTGAAAATCTGTGCAAAGTATGAAGATGTTCTCTTCTCCACCTTGTAAAAGGCAAAGCTTTGTGAAAATATTGTAATGACAAACCACAATAATTCCTGTAAACATTTTCTCAAAGAATACTTCACCATTTTTTCACGCATTTGATCAAAAATTAAACATATTTCATACAGTTAATATAATTGCTTCAATCTGTAAATATCAATAATTGACATGTGTCAACCTCTACTCAGACAAACTTTTTTGTCATACATCTAGCCATTTCAATAATAGCTACTATTTTGCTACCTCGGTATTTCAATCAATTATCACAGCCTAAACAAGGCGGAAAGAGTCTTTAC